CCCCCGAACACCACTAATATCACTAGAGGGCAGTGACGGGCTTCTAAGGATTACTACAATATGCAGCAAAGCCATGTCAGCTGCAGCCATGAGATGTCAAAAAATAAAGTGGGGCTGAACCTTGCCGGGTCTGTACCAAAATGGAAAACCTCCAAGAAAAATCCAATTTCATTTGTGCATTAAGAAATTCCTATAACTACAGCATGTAAAGCATTTTCAGATGCTTCTAGGTCACCAGGTCCCTGGGGAAGGGCATGTGTTTTCTCTGCATTATAGACTATTGCACTATTTCCATTATTCCTTGTGCTATTCAAATGTTTTACAATAATACTGAAGAGGGATGAGCATTTCCAGTTCCAGGGTCCAACCACTTGACTGATGTACCCGCACTGATACTAAATAGTTTCCTCATTAGCATCTGGGAAAATTGCATTGACTAGGAAAGAGCACATGCTGGTGCTTAATCTAAAACAGAGAAGAACCAGTACTCAGGACCATGTTTCAAAGTGAGATTTCCAAAACCCCATCCCTCCAAATTCTCACCCAACAGGCTACTCTAAGGCAGGAGCAGGAAATTTTTTTGGACAGAGGGCCGCTTACTGAGTTTTGGCAAGCTATCGAGGGCCACGTGATAGGCAGCCAGGGGCAGATCAATAGTAATTTCCTAAAATTTTTAGGGGCCCCGTGGGCCGGACAGAATGGCTGGCAGGCTGCATCCGGCCCCCGGGCTGCATTTTGCCCACCCCTGCTGTAAGACAAGACAGGGAAGCTGCAGCCATTTTCAACACTCTTAAAAACAGAGCAAAACAATTTTCTGCACAAGCAAGGTGGGAAGTGGGGAAAAATCCTGCACCAGCACTGCTTAAGGACAGCTTTAAAAGATCTGGCACAAGGTAAGACCTAACATTTCCTCCTGATGAAAATCCAAACCAATGCTCTCAAAGCCATCTGGCGCAGAGATGCCCCGCCACTACCTAAATGCCCTGGCTGCAGAAGTAGCAGCCTTCCACCTTCTCACCATCCCACCAAAAGCAGATAACCAAAGTAAGCTAAAAGGAAGCAAAAGGAATAGCCTTAGGCATGAAGGACATTTCATGGACCAGCTGTGTATTCAAGGGAGTCTATTTTCCCTTGAAAAAGCAAGATAGTGATGTCTCTCCCTCTGCCCTGGCTCACAGAAGAAACATAAGGCATCTTGGATTTTTCCATACTGTTTAATCTGATCTCGCTGCTCTAAAGCGAATCTTAACAGGCACCCTAGATAATACTTGCTGTGGTGTGTGTTCGGCTAATTAACCTAATTAAGCTATTACAACAGCTAACTATAGAAGCCATAAGCAGGAGGGGAAGAATCAGTTCTCCCACTTCCCTTTACTTCTGATTCTAAAAAGCAGAGCGGAGGGACACCTGCACGTCAACAACATCCTGTTATCAACCGAGGCCACGTGCCGTTCTACATGAGTAGGAGTGTGAAGCCTGCAATGCAGAGCTCTCAGACCCAGCTCTTGTGGAGGAGCAGTTTTCATTATTCTTATTTATTTCATTTTCCTTCTTCACAACTGTGCTGGCAGGTAACCGCTGCATTAAGCGACACCCGTAGCTGTAGTTTGGACAGTGCTGGAGCATTTTACTGCTAGCCGCTCGCCCTTTGCCAAAGACGCTGCGACGAGGAACCGCGCAAGCAGCAGGACCAGCAAGAGCTGCTGCTACAAGCCAGGAAGGAACTAAAAGAGTCTGAAGGAGATATTTTGCGGCCACAAACAAAGGCAGCAACAAACCGAAAGACCAATTTGGAAAGGTTTAATAGGAGACGCAGCTTATTAAGTTGTCGGAGGAGCTATTCTGAAAAAGCATGAAAAGAGCTCCCTCCTTTCATTCAGAGCCCTGAGCAACCTCAGCCTGCCTATGGCTCTTCCTTGGCTCAAGCTGCCTTAGTAAGAGCACCACGGAGGACCATTTTACAGGAAGGCTCTAAGCCTCATCTCCAGTCCCAGGACAGGGACAGCAGCAACCTTCAAAAATGGCTCGCGCGCTTCTTTGAGCAGCAGACAACGTCCCAAAAGCTGACCGACAAAGGACCTGAAAGGATCGTTCTTTTCTCTCCAGGACAGGAATGTGTCTGTGTCTAGGAAGCATCCAGCAAGCTGAGCCCAACAAGAAATAAGAACCTGAAGTCTTTTCCATTTTATTTTCCAAGTTAATAACCCTCTCCCTAGCACAGATAGCAAGGTAGGAAAATATCCTCCTCTTTCCACACTACACTACTGTCATTTGGATCTCCATAGGAAGCAGGTTCATTCTGCTGTTCAAGCAGTGATAAGCACTACCGCCATTGCTACTGGACACTGATAGCAACTCTCCTTTCACACATCCTGAATAGCAGATGTCTGCAGCTTTTTTAGAGTCACTTCTAAGGCACGGGGGCTAGGAGGTAAGAACAGAAAAAGATCTCTGACCACTGAATCAATGGGGTTTTATCACAGCCTTCTACTACACAATCCAGAGTAAGAGGATACAAATGTACCTGGTGGAGACAGGAAAGGAAGGGGCATGAATAATTGCGAAATAATATGCGGAACAAGTCATGGAAAGGATACAGAACATACCTGTGAGTACCGGGATGGTCAAGTAGGTACTGTAACGCAGTACAGCCACTGCATGCAGAAGAGGAAACAAAAGAGAAGAGAGATCACATAAGACATTAAGTTAAAAAAGGGGCGTAAAGAAACATGGGAGGAACACTTGACCTGGTACAAATCAAGAAGTTACCCGACCTAAGTGCCTATAACAGGACGATCCCAGATACCAAGATGACAGCCTCCTGGTGAAGGCTAAGCAGGACAAAATGAAAAGGGACACAAAGTTCGGTTCAGTTAATTTATTCAGTAACTAACCACCATTAACCACAATTTGCATGTATAAATGTATTGTGCACAAAATTTGGGGGAGAGACAGTGAGCTTCAGCCCATGAAAGCTTGTGGTATACATACATGTCTACTTTGATTGGTCTATTAGGGGCAAATCTACCCTGCCTTCTACATATATTTTTGGTCAATCCAGGAACACTGATATACATGTCAATATTCTGCACTCATTCAAGCACAAAACACTCAAAGCATTTTGCTGAAAGCCCTAGGTCTTCTCTTCTACATTAAGCACAATGATTCCAGGAAGCTCCGTGGATTTTGCAACGAGGGGTGAAGAATACCACGCAACACACTTCTAGCCAGAAAACAAACAGAAGACCCCACAAATGAACAAAATGAGATTATACCCCTGCCCCTTGAACCCTCTGCAGGACAGAGGAATATCAGGTTTGAGTCATTTGTTAAAAATTAACAAACATCACTAGAGAAGCTGAAATAACTACAACGAAACTTCCATTCCACGGTTAAAAGCTAATGCTTCTCGGAGAGTTCAGAGTATAGACAAGTGACAAGGTCTAACGCAGCAATTCTCAATCGGGAGCAGTGCCTTGAGATTCTTTTAAGGGTGTTGCATGGTGCCATGCAATGTTAGCACTCTAAAAACATGATTCACAAGATAAATCAGAGGTTTCAGATGGTATCCACAGAGTTAAAAAATTCTGCCTTGTTGTGGTCTTTCCTAGTTCTTTGCAAGAGTAGAATTTCTGTATTATTTTTCCATAGCTAAGAAGAAAACCATTGAAAATGCACAGCTGGCATTTTCTGGAGGGTGTCTTGAATCCAACAAGGGGCGCTGCGAGTCTAAAAAAGGCTGAGAACCACTGGTCTAATGTGTGGTCCCACTCCCATATCTGAAGCAGCAAGCCCAAGGGTGAATACAAATTTTCTTTGCTTTGGGCTCCTCTATACTAAGGTAGGGAATTCAATTACATGCAAAAACTGTGTTAAAAAAACCCACTGAGGTGGTGAAGCCAGGCACTCAAAAGTTAGAAAGTGCCAAAATTTAAGATGCCCAATGCAATGTGAATTTGGTCCCCTTGTGTATTATGACACAGGCATTAATTACACTTTTTGGTGCTTTTTTCTCTTTCCCTGCACAGAGTTCATCCCAGAGCTGGGGACCAGAGGAGGACACTGTTGTCAGTAAAACCTGCCTCCTTCATTCCAAGAAGTGGAGGTCTGGAGTGCAATCCCCTGCCTGAGAGCAAGAGAAAGCATCTCCCTCTAACGAGAGCTGAATGCACGTGCAGGAAATGGGATTCCTGCTCTTGTTCTGCCAACGGCCCCCACCAGGCAATTTCATCTGGGCCAGGGGCGCCATCAACTAACTGTACCCTGCCCGGCCCTTCCGCCCATGAGGGTGGGAGCGAGACACCGGCCCCTATTGCACAGCACGTGTGCAGCTCCCACACTTGCATGCCATCTAGGGAAGCCCCATGCGATGGAGCCGGCTGCCTTCCTCAGCCCCAGGACTCTGCGGGAAAGCAAGGGCTAGGGCTCCCCCCATTTCCAGCGGAGCCCTGGGGCCTGCACGGCAGGGAGTGGGAAGGCAGCCAGCTCCATCACGCGTCTTCCCCTGGCGGTGCATGGTGCTGGGAGCTGTGTGTGCGCTGCAGGGAGAGCCGCACAATAGAAGCAGGCCAGCCTGGCTGAGCTCCTCACCACCAAGTGCAGTTGTAGCCAGAGCCATGTGCCGCGCCAGGCAGCAGCACCTGAGCAGGCCATCAGCACCTCGAGCGTCAGCACCCTGCTGCTGCTGCCACCTGCGGCAGGTGTCATGCACCATGGGAGGGAGTGTGGGGGGTGTCCCCACATGTCCCCTAGCCTCCCTCACACCCCACAAATCCCACACAACCACACCCTGCCTGCACAACCCCCATGCATGCACCCCTCCAACATACCCTACT